TATTGAGCACATGAAATTTTGGAAACCCCAAAGCATCTTAATATTTTTTCAGAATGCATCTACTCCTGTGTTTTTTTGTTAAATCTGTTTTTACTGTTCTTTCAGAATTTATTCTCTTCTTAGCCTTCCCTCCCCAACCCACGCCCCCAAAACAAAACTAAACCTTCAGTCTTCTTGCCTTCTGTGCACATGGCACGCCCCTCCCCTGCCAGGTCATGTCTTGCATTGAGTGTTGAAGGAGGGGCTCCAGATGCCAGTGGGGAGGTGTCAGGTGGCACATGTGAGTGGGGTCCTGAGAGACACGGGGTCAAGGCAGGTTGTGTCCCAGACATGGGCAGGTCACATGTGGAGGTGGAGAGTCCTGAAGATGGTGTTTCTGGTTAACAAGCATGTCACACTTCCCACAGCCTGTGAGCAGGAATAAGGTCACATCTACATCTGTGTGTCCTGGTTGCAAGGTCCCAAGCTTGCTAACTGGGAGCAATTTCAGTCATTTCCAGGAGGCCCCACCATGATAAGCCCTAAGGAAGCTTTCGGGAGTACATCAATTTGGTGGCTCCTGAGGGGCTTCTTCCCCACAGGAAGTGACACTTCTGGGAAGTATCACTGTGGTGCTGTACTTGTGTGTGCAGCGTGTGTTGATGGTGTTTAGGAAATCTCTTGCAATAATGGTGTCAGAAACCCAGAGGTGAGTGGACCACTCCGAAAACTCCTTGCCTGCAGGACTGGAAATGAGGGAGAAGTGTTCTCTGACTCTCTACAGAGGCAGAGCCTCCGAGGAGAGGGGCTGGAGCTGTCTTTCCAGCAGGGCTCACTCCCCCTTCAGTGTGCTGGCTCCTGTGTGCATGTGCTTTGAGAGACTCGGCTCAGCCATAACGACGGCTTTAACTTTTCTAGGGAGGTTGCGTTGGGAGGGATAGCTTCAGTTTTTGGAGGGACTTTCTCAGCTCCCTGGGGTGGGAGGATGGACCGTGTCATCTGGCAGGACAGAATTTCAGTGAGTGATGGAAAAGATGGTGCTCGAGAGCCACTTAGCACAAGGGGAAGGCCCACACAGGGACCTGCCTGTGGTGACCACGCTGGGCTGGACTTTGAGTTCCTGTGTGGGGATGGGACAGTAACAGCCAGCACCTCTAGAGATCTTGTGGCACCAACGGAACACATTTTCTCAAGACCCTCTCATTGCAGTTGCCAAGACAGGGTCTGCAAAAGGCATCAGGTAGGCATCAGAGCCACACTCTCAGGTCCTCCTTTCTTAAGATGTCATTAGAATGTCAAAGTCTGGCAGTCGCCTTAGGCAGCAGGCCTTGATCTAGTGTCATGTGTAGCCAGAAGCACAGGTTTCAAAATCCCGTAGCNACATTTTCTCAAGACCCTCTCATTGCAGTTGCCAAGACAGGGTCTGCAAAAGGCATCAGGTGGGCATCAGAGCCACACTCTCAGGTCCTCCTTTCTTAAGATGTCATTAGAATGTCAAAGTCTGGCAGTCGCCTTGGGCAGCAGGCCTTGATCTAGTGTCATGTGTAGCCAGAAGCACAGGTTTCAAAATCCCGTAGCCCTGGATGTGCCCCCCAGCCCAGTCACACACGGGCTTTGTGACTGTACCTTGGTCTCTTCTTCTCTCAAATGGGATTATAGTCTCCATCTCATGAGGTCCTTGTGAGGATGAGATGTATGCAAGAGGCCTTCCTTGCCCAGTGGCTGTAATTGCATGGAGACCTGGGTGAGGTCACCTGGGACAAGTAGTTAATGGCTTTCCTCTTCCATTGCAGCGGAGCTGGAGTTTGCCCAGATCATCATCATTGTCGTGGTGGTCACGGTGATGGTCGTGGTCATCGTCTGCCTGCTCAATCACTACAAAGTCGCCACGCGGTCATTCATCAACCGCCCAAGCCAGAGCAGGCGGCAGGAGGACAGGCTGCAGCAGGTGAGTGTGGGATGGACGCCTGGGTGCTGCATGGCCTCTTACTCAGGTGGGAAGTGGGACAGACTTTCAGGTCAGCCCCCAGCACCTCAGAGGCATGGAAGACTTTCTATTGATGTGTAACACACGGAAAAGCACATGCGTCCTAAGTGTTCAGCTCAGCGAGTTCTCACAAACTGAACACACCTGGTGACCAGCACCCAACAAGAAAGAGCCGCGTGCCCCCAGACCCACCCAAGTCCCCGTCGCAGCCCCTCCCCTGCAGGTCTCCATTGCCTGGATGGCATCTGTCACACAGATCAGCTTTACTGGGTTGGGAGCTTCGCCGTGATGGCTTGTACCATGAGTGCACTCTCGTGTCTGGCTTCTCTTGGGCAGTGTTAGATTGTGAGACTCGTCCATGCTGTCATGTTAAAGATCTGTTACTAAGCTCAGTCCTGGAGCTGTCCCTGCGGCAAGTGGTGACTCATGTGTTGCCAGTGTGCTGGCAGGGCCTGGGCGTGGGCAGGCTGGAGGGCACACGGAGCAGCTAGGACAATGGAGCCTCCTCAAGTAGATGGGGTGGGTGCTGTTGAGGTACTGGTAGGGCAGCCACAGTGAGGGTCCTCAGTGCACAGGGTGTAAGTTTCTGGCTGTTTCTAGCCCTGAACCACCTTCCTCCCCTGGGATATAAAATACTGACTCAGCTAAACTGTTCCATGATCAAACTTGGGAGACCAGGGGCTGCCGGAACTTTCTATTCAGAGTCAGTTTTATAACTTGTGTTTCTGGTGGCTTTCAGCAGGAGGCTCGGGAATGGTGAGCTTAGGCGAGTGTGAATTCTTGGCTTCAGTGGTGGGCAAAGGAGGTTCCCATGGTTTATTGAGCAGCAGGAGAAGAACATTTTACAGGCATCCCATTTCAGGACCAGGGCTGTATGGTAGCTGCCTCCCACCCTGACCTAGGGAGGCTAGCATGGGCGTGGAGTGCAGCTGGGCCAGGGCCCCTGGGAGCCCTTATAGGAGGGCAGGGCCATGCTTCCATGGGGCTGCAGAGTTGCTCAGGGAGCTTCGTGGTCCCAAGGTGGAGAGAGGTTTGTTGGTGTGTTCTGCCGCCTGCAGCAGGAGGAAGGTGAGAGAAGGGACAGGTGCTGCTGTATGCCACCCTTGGACCCATGGGGTAGGCTGTTGGGGCAGCTGACAGGAGGAGACAGGATGCCCTGGGAGGGCTGCCAGCACTTGGCCCTGACAACCCCTTCCTCCATCTCTCCGGCCCCCGGTCCAGCCCACAAGCCCCTCCAGCCCTATTTTACCACCTGCATCATGCTATGCTGGTTGCTGGGCCCTTGCCATGCACAGAAGTCTGGCACCCAGAGGCCGCAGTGCCGAGGCCCACTGAATGCTTAGGCATCTGACGCCTGTAGATTATTGTGCAGGGACAGCTCTGTTATTTGCAGGAGAAGACTAAGTCTTCTGATGTTCTGAACACAAAATACACGTAACTCTCCTGAGTTTAAAGGGAGAGGACAGGGAGAAAATCTCTGCACAGCAGCCGTTTTAGAACCAGAAAAGAAGCAGCCAGCATTGCTCTGCTTCATGCAAGGACCGTGAGTGCCACTTGGGCCTTGGTGTTGCCACCAGTATCAGGCAGCTCTCGGTTTCCACAAAGCACATGTCGTGAATTTACCCACAGTCCCCGTTTTTCTCTTTCTGCTCCACGAGCCCCGAAATGCCTCGGGTGCCTGAACATGGAGGCACACGGTGCCTGCCCCTCTTTCTCTCAGACTTGCCAAGGGCATTTGGTGCCAGGTGACACTGTCCCGCACCTTTCAGTGCAGGCCCAGCCCCCTCGCCATCCCTTTTCATAGCGCTGTGTGCTGACCGTCTGTACAGTCACACCCACACCATCCAAGAGGAGCAGCAGGACCACAATCTTAAAAAGGCAGAGAAGCAAAGCTCTAAGCACGTTTTAATTTGGGAAGTGTCTCCTCTTTCCTCTGGCGGTGGGCTGGAGAAGTCCTGTCCCAGGGGAGCAGCTGGGCCTGGGCAGGGGCCTCCCTTCTTGAAATCAGGAAGGTGACGGAGTGGTTTCTGGTGGTCCTTTCAGGGCTGCACACTGCATGGCAAGTGCAGACCACCCATCGCTAGTGAGCGAGCTGTGTCTGCCAAGGTCTTTGCCACCGTCTGTGCCTAGACCACACTGAGACATCGTCGCACACCAGTTAGACTGGCCAGTATTGAAAAGACCAAGAATAACAAATGCTGGTGAGGATGTGGAGAAAGGGGAGCCCTCCTTCACTGTTGGTGGGACTGAATTAGTGCAGAATTATGGAAAACAGTATGGAGCTTCCTCAAACAACTACATACAGATCTACCATATGATCCAGCAACCCCACTTCTGGGTATGTACCCAAAGGAATGGAAATCATCGAGTCAGAGGGACACCTGCACCTCCGTGTTTATCGCAGCTCTATTTACAATAGTCATGATATGGAACCAACCTACATGCCCATTGACAGATGACTGGATAAGGAAATGTGGTATATACACACACTGGAATACTACTCTGCCATAAAAAAGAATGAAACTCTGCCATTTGCAACAACATGGATGAACTTGAGAAAATTATGTTAAATGCAATAAGCCAGGCACAGAAAGAGTAATACCACATGTCCTCACTTATAAGTGGGAAGAGAGAGACAGAGAGAGAGACAGACAGACAGACAGACAGAGAGAGACAGAGAGAGAGAGACCCCACAATAATACGTTGAACTTTCAGAAGGAGAGAATAAACATAGTAA